CCAGCCAAGAGGACCAGAAAAAATCTCCCAACTACGAATAGTAGCGACCACATTAAAATGAACTAGAATGGGGTACGCGCGCGATAGAATGGAATAAACAAATCTTGGTTTTGATGGGCTTCTCATTCTCCCGTTTAGATCTTTATAATGCGGTTACTCGCGTTAAGCATTACCATGACATACTCGATATGCTTCTTTATAGTTTTTGCAAAGGTGAAAGATTTATTGCTTTTGCGTTAATTTGTTTTATCTTGCTACCCAGGTGTGCTTGACATGCTCCAAAAAGAAATCAGTGGGAAGACAGGGTGATAGAAAAAATCAAGCAAGAATCAGCGGTGGTTGGAATCGTAAAGCTTTCTGTCATATCGTGATGATTTCTCCATAGGTTCGAAAGAGAAGCTAGCTGACAAACGACAGAAAAGCATCGACTTCACTAAAATGAAAGAAGAGCAACGCACACAAGCAGTGGAAACTTCGCCACAAAGAATATTAGTCTCAAAAGAACGTGGCTCAATACAGCAGAAATTGACCTCGAAAGAATATTGCTCAGAAGAGCGGAAGTTCTCAGCGTCTAAGGAATCGGAAGCAGTGGGCTCGAAAGAAGCTCACGAAAACCCTCCACAAATTGGGACTGTCAAAAACGAGCGTGATGAGCAGATGGTAAGAATTTATTGAAGATTTGTCCAAATTCGACTGAAATCCGTTTCGACTGAAATTCGACTGAAATCCAAAAAACTCCAGCAATCGAAAGCTTCTTTTAAGGGTGGATACCTATCCGCCGGGCCAGATGATCGAGCATTCACTCTCCTTATGCCAGTAGAACCGGTGCAGGTCAGTTCAGTTTACGATTAGAAATCGAAGTTTTGAATTAAAAGAAATCTTATGTAAGCACCCATTGACATTCACCGAGTTTCATTCCTACTTTCTTTGTTTCTTCTACGCCGGAACGGCATTATGCTCAATCCTCAGTAGCCGTTCTTATTTTGCAGGAAAAAACTGAAGGAAAAAGCATGTTTGGAGAAGTTATTGATCCTTTGAAAGAAATTGACAAAGTAATTGAAAAAAGACCTAAAGCTTGCACAAATCATTGACACAAGTCAGTTTTCAGAACCAATCGAGTCAACAGGAAAACGTGGTGGAGGTGGAACCATTTTCACGGGTACCATATCTTTTGAATAGTAACGAGCATTGCCAGCGTTCTAATGCATATGTTCTGTTTAGGGAAACCAAAAAAAGGTGAACTTTAAAAAGGTAATTCCGGTGCTAATTTCCCTAAACAAACTGATGCATTCCTTTTTAGAAAGGTAATCCTGCCTTGATGACATAAACGGATTATTCAAGTTCTTACTGAAAAAATCTACTTCAAACAAACACTCTCTCAATAAACGTACTTTGGGTTCTTGCTTTGACACGTCGAATTTGATAAGTAGTGTCACCTCAAACTTAGCAAATATTAAATTGTCCCAAAAGTAAACCCTTTTTCTGAATAAATCAATAAATTCGTCTTCCTAGAAACTTAGGGTACCAAATAGAGCAAAGCAAGCTCTACAGAAAGACCGCCAAAGGTCCGCCTGATTCGTAATTTAGGTAGAATTTGGAGACAAAGATGAAAATTTTTCGGGTACCATGTCAAACCGGATCTCTCCGGAAAATTTTTGCGAATCTCCAAATTGGTCATCATAGAATAGTCACACAATAATCCCCAAAAATGCAATTGAATTTTTTCCATGCTTCAGAACTGAAAAATTGGAGTGGTCCACAATGCAAAGATGTCACTTTTTTCGGGTCTTTCATATCAAGCTTGGTATTTCTCGTTTACGAAAGCACAAACGGGGATAAAATATTAAATCTGTCTCTTAGTATTTAGTGACATATGTGGGAGGGGCTGCGGGTGCTTACCATTTCGGGCTAACTTCTCGTCTAAGCGCCAAAAAACCAGTAAAGTCATATTTGTATACTTGTATGTGTCTACTATAAAGTGACCAAGTTTGAAGTCCGTAGATTTTTTGATTTAATTTTCGGGTGATAAATTTTTTCTGGATTTGTCTCCGAACGTTACCTGCATTACTATTCAATGGATCTATGGCGGTCATTTTGTAGAGCATGTTTCGCTCTATTAAGCATGATACCTAAGTCTGCTAGGAAAACAAAAATAGATCGATTTATTTGGAAAAGGAGTTTACTTTAGGGACGACCTAATACTTTTATAAATCAATTATAGTAGGCTTTTCGCTGGTGCCTGCTCTAAGGGCTTGCTCTCGTATAACTGGTTCATGTTCTCGAAATACTTCAAAAAATTATGCACGTAACCCCAATTGCTTCTTTACTCTTAGC